ATATATATATATATATATATAACCTGCTTATAGTACCTCCTGATAGTCCGGCATATCTGATAATCCGGCACCACCTAAATCCCATAGGTTCCGGATTATTGGAATTCTACTGTATATAACTTGATGCAAGCTATGTATCCTTTTCCTGTGCATATTTGTGTGCATTTATCTGTGTTTTCTTCCCCAAGTCAGTTTCAGCAATATATATATATATATATATAACCTGCTTATAGTACCTCCTGATAGTCCGGCATATCTGATAATCCGGCACCACCTAAATCCCATAGGTTCCGGATTATTGGAATTCTACTGTATATAACTTGATGCAAGCTATGTATCCTTTTCCTGTGCATATTTGTGTGCATTTATCTGTGTTTTCTTCCCCAAGTCAGTTTCAGCAAGTGTTTAACTTCCTCAAAATATCATGAGGCAAATCAATTGTATTAAGAAACCAGTTTTCATCCTCTATCTATTAATTCCGTTGGTCACCGTAGCCACAAAACACATGGGTCTATACATTCCATAATCCGAAAGGTCTACATTGGAGCATCTGGAGAGGGGATTGCCACACTACCACTGGACTATGAACAGTCTTCATGTCAACTAGAATAAACTAGTCAAAAGATTTCACTGGGGTGGACTAGGGAAGAAATATGATGTATTTTTATGTTGATCCAGCATCTCTATCACTTCTGAATATGGGATCAATGGAATTGTGTCTGCTGCGATGCAGCAAAGATAAGGCTACTTTGTTCTTCCATGAGTTGGGAGCAGCGGCCACAAACAGTGAGCTACATCCTTGGACCAGGTCAGAGGATGAATTTTGCCTCTCCACGTTCCAGAGCTTCACTTGCCATAAAGTCAGAGCACTTGGGATTCACGTGGATTAAGTACGTTGCACCCTTACATCAGATATTATTGAAAGGTGCCATTTCACAAACAAAAAAGTGACGAAAACCTTGAACAAGACAGAAGTCAGAAAATGCCCAAGGCAAACACAATTCCACATAACAATAACTGCAACACACCTAGTAATAAATGACACCTACACCTCAAAGTAGCATTATGCTTTGTGCGATGCCTAGGAACATAGGAATTGACACACCAGACCAGAACCCTCTAGCCACATAGCCAGTACCAGATACTTCAAATGAAGATGTAGGCAACCCTGAACTGTGAAGTAGGGACAGAGGGGGTTGGAATCTGAACCTGAATCTGGTTATAAATTGCACAGCACATTTCTATGACTCAGTTTACCCAGCTTTAAAATGAGAATAACTGGGCTGTTGTGTGCCTGAATGGCAGCAGAACAGTTTGAAACACTTGGATTGGAAGACATTTCACATGTGCAGAGTGTTATTACTATCTTGGACTTTATGTGGTGATTTGAACAATTTTTCTTTTAAATATATATTGAATTATCTCCTAAATATTTGTTCCAGGTGGTGGCTGGACTGAATTATGCATTTGAGTATGAAATCAAGGAGACTAATTGCTCCAAGGATTATTTTCCAGAGTTAAGACCTGAGTGCAAACCCATTCCTGGAGGTGTAAGTGATATTCACATCCAGTTTATCAAAACAGATTCTTCTGTTGGTAATTAATTACTGATCATTTTGATTCAGGAAAGTACTTAAGCACCTGCCTAACTTAAGGTATATGTACACTACAATAGAGCATCTGTGGTTAGTCTGTGTCCACTGACTCGGGCTCATGAAGCTTGAGCTGAAGGATGTAAAAGTACAGCATAATTGTCCAGGTTCAAAGAATCCCACAAGGATGCATCTCTACAGCAAAGCAATGGGGTCTGAATCCTCAGTTCTTGCTTGACTGACAGTTCCACGTTCCACGTCCTGGGCGCTACAGGGTGTGAGTCTTGGGTTAGCGCTGTTTGTGTGTGGTCAGAAAGAAGGGAAGGCTTGAGCCTGATTTTGAAACCTGGGCTTATACTGCAGTGCAGACATCCCCCAAGGGTTTGATTCTGTAGGTACTAAACATTCTAACTTCCCATTCAAGTCAAAGGGAGTCAAGGGAGTTGTTCAGTACCTTGCAAGACCAAGATTAAAGTGGTCCCATTCATCTTTCATCAATATCTATCTACAAAGGCCTCTTCCATTTTCTCTGGTGGATTTCCCAGGGTCATCTTTTCTCCTGATCAGAAATCACTGGACCTGCTTTTGAAGGTGCATTCAGATCAGTGTAGATCAGGAGAAAATTCTCTGGAGACAATGGAGACTAACCAGTGTTCAAGACACCACAAATTGGCCTCTCATCTCTCTCTTCATGACCCAGTGTTTGTTTGCTATGAAGGAGGCCATCAGGACATTTACAAATATGCTCGCTGAGTATTTCTAAGAGAAAATTAAGAGTTTTTTTCCTCCCAACCCAGCATATAGGTCGCTGTGAAGCCAAAGCCTATGTGAATCTTAGGAACGCAATTGCAAATTTTGCACAGAAATGCCAGTCAACAGGTATGTGATGATCAAGTGTCAGTTGAAAACGGTTAATGGTTTACTACAATTGCAAATTGATGTACAATAAAAATGCCAAAGGACTACAAAAATCACGGGAGGGGGGAAGCTATTCTGCTATCACAGCAAAACTATAAGGCCTCCCCCCACCCCCTTCCTCACAATGGAAATTTAACAGATAATCTTCTCATTTCCTACAAAGTACTGAAAATCCAAGGGGAAATTCTCTTCTTTGATCTTTACATTGCCATACTTCTATGATATGAGAAGTGGGCCTCTGAACCCTGATTGGGGATCTGCAGGGTTAAGCGCAAGGGCAATCCCACCATGAAGATCAGCAGGGCAGCTCAGAGATGATAATTGTCCCGCTAAACTTTATTTCATTTTTATTTATTTATTTCCAAGGGCTACATCGGCTCATCTAAATATTTTCCTAGTTTTACAACAAAAAAACCTAAAAAAATTACTGAAGTGGGTACAAACAAAAATGTCATACAATGACTTGTTTACACTGCTCTATCACGCATGGCCCGTCAAGCCCCACTCCTTTTGCTAGGGGGCCCCGCCCCTTATGGCAGACAAGCTGCCTCCATACTCCTCCACCACCATGGCACAGGGAGGTAGGGTGGCTCCAGTATCCCAGGCCCAGAGCATTGGCGAGGGAGAAGGGCGTGCAGCCTCAGCCTTCTAGAACATGGTGCTGGGGAGGGCAGGCACTTCAGGGCACCAACACTCCACCCCCAGAACGCCTATAGTAGGTGCTGTGGGGGCAGCGTGTAGGCGGGGCCATGCTGGCTGTTTGCCTAGCACATGGCTGCCCATGTGCTCTGTGTCCTCTGCACTGACATAAAAATCCAATATTTAGATTCCAGTGGATTCATTTTACAATTAAATGGTAAAAATGAAAACATCAGCAATTTTTCAGTAATATCCTTGCTGTGACTCTTTTATTTTTATGTCTGATTTGATAAGCAAGTTGTATTTAAGTGAGGTGAAACTGGAGAACACAAACAAATCAGACTCCTGCCAAGAGTGGAGTAGTCTGGAAAGGTTGAGAAGTACTGATTTAAAGAACTTTCACAAAGATACAGATATAAGCAAAAAAAAAAAAAAGTCATAGAGGGACAGCCCCTTGAACACGCGTAAATATACTCTACATTCACAATTGGGTTTTGTGTGTGCATCATCTCCTTAGATTGAAGAGCCATAGCCATTTAGACCAATGTTCTCAGAGCCTGTCAATTGGACCCAAGAATTCATCTAGAGCAGAGGCAGGCAAATGACAGCTTGTGGGCCTCACCCAGCCCATCATCTGTTTTAATCTGGCCCTCAAGCTCCAGCTGGGAAGGAAGGTCTGGGGTTTGCCTTGTCCCACACATGCCATGGCTCTGTGCAGTTCCTAGAAGCATGCCCCGCCTTCCAGTTCCTACATGTAAGGGAAAACACAAGGAACTGTGGCCAATGGGAGCTGAAGGGGCAGTGCTTGCAGACGGGGGGCGGGCAGCACACAGAACTGCTTGGCCACACCTCCATGCAGAAACCCACAGGAAGGGGGACTTGCTATTGCTTCTGGGAGCTGCATGAGGTAAGCAATGCCCCTTTGCGATGTATATTGGCCAAATTGGACAGTCTCTATGAGACAAGATTAATGGACACAAATTAATATTTGAAAAGGTAACACACAGAAACCTGTCGGGGAACATTTTAACTTCCCTGGGCACTCATTAATGGATCTCAAAGTTACTGTATTATTGCAAGCCAATTTCAAAAACCAGTTTGAAAAGGAAGCTGTGTAGCTTAATTTCATTTACAAGTTTGATACCTACAATAGAGGTTTAAACAAAAACCTTAAGTGGGTTACCCGCTACATTCCACATCCTAATGGCGTAAAAACCCAAACATTGGGTACTTAAGAGCACTTAGTACCCACTCCATCAGCTTCATTTACAATAGACACTTCAAGGGGGTGTATACACAGCACCCTTACCTCAAAATAAGCTACGCAAGTTGCGCTGTGCAAGTTGAGTAGCTTATTTCCAGGTAATTTTAAAGTAGCTTAATTTGAACTTTGGCACTGTCTACACAGCACCAAATTTAAAAATAAAGTGCTACTCTGATGAGTGCCTTAACCCCCGTGGAACGAGGGTTACAGGGATGCTGGAATATTGCACCTATTATTTTGAAATATATTTTAAAATAACGTGTGCGTTTAAAGACCAGAACTGCTATTCCGGGATACTTCCAGTATCCCGAAATAGCCCTGCTGTCTAGACGTAGCCTAATTGACAATATTTTTTCCCCTTTTTTCCCTCCTTTTTCTTTCTCTCTACCTGCCCCCCTCCCAGTCCCCTCTCTTTCTCTGCTATTTATTTGGAAACTGAACCCCTTAACTCCATTCGTTGTGCCCACGAAAGCTCATGATATATTTTTGTTAGTCTCCAAGGTGCTGCAAGACTATTTGTTATTTTTTAAGTATTTTCAATTACAGACTAACACGGCTACCCCACTGATCCATTTGCACACTCATTTCTGTAGAGCATTACATTGATCAAATGCACTGTTTGCCCCCAGGCATCTAAATTCTGCTTTTTCCTAAGACAACAACACAAGCATCTACCAAATCAAGCCTCAAAATATTTTAGTTCCCACCTAGCAGAATCAAACACAGTTAGTCCTGACAGAAATACATTTCTACCTCAATGGTTCACCCGAGCCCAATGCAAACTGAATCTTTTGTTCCTTCAATTTATTTGAACTCTGGTGTTTCTTTCAGTGATTCCTCCTCACTCTCCCATTTGTCTTGGCTGCCCAATGCCCATCCCAACTGACAGTAAGGAACTGGAAGAATCACTGAGTGCTTCCGAGAAGATGTTTAATGAAGACAGTATTGATGATTTCTACTATAAAGCTGAAGGAATATCACATGCCACAGTACAGGTTTGGATTCTTTGTTCCCTTTCATGTTCAGTTTTTTTGTAACACAACCTCTCTGTATTTTATAGAGATGGGCCAAAGATATAGTGATGGCTGGAGTCGAAGGGCTGAAGCAGGGTTAAGGTTTGGATTTACGTTTGAAATGTTGGGAGCTGGTCTTTCTGCCACAGTGTTTCTGCCACTTTGATCATCTGGGTATCTGAAAGCACATTCCTGCAAATTTCAGTCATCCAAAAGGATTTTTAAAAAAACTCCTTCAATATTTTTTTTTCTCTGAACTGGACCCAAAACTATAGAGCAGGTTTCAGATTCAGGACTCTGATGTGTGTTATGCTCCCTTCTTTACCAAGTCTTTTGGAATCATTCCAAATTTTCTTCTTCTAAATCCCATCTCCTTATCTCTGAATACAGAACCCCCATAACCACCCTAAATCATTTCTCTCCCTCCTTCTGTTTACACATACAAATATTTTAGGCACTTATCATTTCAGTAGAGAGAACTTCATTATTAGGTACTCATTACTGAAGCTTAAAGCTGGCAAATATTGCCTTGTCCATGGGAAGATATATTTAAAATCCTTACTGATTATAATAATTTTCAAGGTAAAATATCTGCCTGAATGAGAAACAATGCACATTAATTTATACATGGTACATCACTAAAACATAACAAACCTCACCTTCCTTGCTTCACCAAAAATATCAGTTTCACATCCTGATTTGTTAGCCTCTCACACAAGTCTGTGTGTCTCTTCCACATAGCCTGGACACATGGTTCACCCTTCCTGAGATGGTCTGAAAGACTTCTATCCATTCTCTCCTCATGGATATTGATCTGTTCTAGTCTCACTTAAGTCTTTTACCTCAGTGGGCACTAGATCAGGACCTAAGGCTATGTCTAAACTCACGGCTTCTTGCGCAAGTAATATGCAAATAAGGCTAAGCGTAGAATATCGCTGAGCCTCATTTGCATACCTAATGAGCCACCATTTTTTTCAGAAGAGGCTCTTGCGCAAGAAGGAGCATCTACACTGCCCCTTCTTGCGCAAGAAAAACCATTTTGCGCAATGCCGTTACACCTATTACTTTTCAGGAAGAACGGCGTTGCGCAAGAGGGTTTTTATTGCGCAACAAGAGGCAGTGTAGATGCTCCTTCTTGCGCAAGAGCATCTTCTGAAAAAAATGGTGGCTCATTAGGTATGCAAATGAGGCGTGGCGATATTCCACACTTAGCCTCATTTGCATATTACTCGCGCAAGAAGCAGCGAGTGTAGACATAGTCCTGGTGTGCACACAAGTTAGACTGTTTTGCCAGCATGGTTTATTCCAGCCCCTCAAATATAATATCACAATATTAAAAATGCTTCTAGCCTACCCTGGCAGGAGCTAGCTTCACAGAGTAAGCCAAATTATCTTTGGTGCTTCTTTAACTCTGTTCCTATTGTCTAGAAACCTCCTTCTTAAATCATGAATGAAATTAGGAGAGGTTGAACCTCTTTTGTCCAACACCCTACAGGCCTGACTGGTGCCAAACCAAAGAATTTGAAAACAAGTATTCCTGTGACACATTAAGGACTAACACAAATATATAGTAACATGAGCTTTTGTGGGTAAAACCCACTTCATTTGCTGATCCACAAGACTTAAACACCTCTGGGGATGGAGACTCCACTACTTCCCTAGGTAACCCATTCCAGTGCTTCACTACTCTCCTAGTGAAATAGTTTTTCCTAATATCCAACCTGGACCTTTCCCACCACAACTTGAGACAGGAACACAGGAAAGTTGACCGGATCCATGATATGTGAATATCCAGCTAACTAAAATCATGCTACCCGCAGATGTTCCTGGATCAGGAAGTGCCAGACTACAGAGGCTCCAACTGCATATAGATAATTTCATAGAATCACAGACTCATAGAACCATAGAGCTGGAAGAGACCTCAGAAGGTCATCAAGTCCAGCCCTCTGCTCTAGGCAGGACCACCCCCATCTAAATCACCCTGGCCAGGGCTTTGTCAAGCCGAGACTTAAACACCTCTGGGGATGGAGACTCCACTACTTCCCTAGGTAACCCATTCCAGTGCTTCACTACTCTCCTAGTGAAATAGTTTTTCCTAATATCCAACCTGGACCTTCCCCACCACAACTTGAGACCATTGCTCCTTGTTCTGCCGTCTGTCACTACTGAGAACAGCCTTTCTCCAGCCTCTTTGGAACCTCCCTTCAGGAAGTTGAAGGCTGCTGTCAAATCCCCCCTCACTTTTTGCTTCTGCAGACTAAACAGACCCAATTCCCTCAGCCTCTCCTCATAGGTCATATGCTCCAGCCCCCTAATCATTTTGGTTGCCCTCCGCTGGACCCTCTCCAATGTGTCCACATCCTTTTGTAGTGGGGGACCCAGAACTGGACACAATATTCCAGATGTGGTCTCACCAGAGCTGAATAAAGGGGCATAATTACATCTCTGGATCTGCTGGCAATGCTCCTCTTAATGCAACCTAATATGCCATTAGCCTTCGTGGCTACAAGGGCACACTGTTGACTCATATCCAGCTTCTCATCCACTGTAACCCCCGGTAAGAAAACATGGATGTTATCTTGGCTCCACTGAAATCAGTGGCAAACTGCCATTGACTTCAGTCAAACCAGAATTTCATCCTTTTTCTGTTGTTTCTGATATGAGGTGTCTACCTCCCTTTTGGGCATGATTCAAAAAGATTATATAATAACATGAACATCAACAAATCAACTTTCCCAGGAACATTAATGAATTGATACAGTTCAGCTCTTTCATGTGTTTGGCAAATAATTTGTTTTTCACTGAAGTTGTATTTTTCAGACTCTTCATTTTACCTCATCCAACTTCCCTTCCCTTATATTTGGCTCACTACAATGGTGCCTCGGAAAGATTTCCTTCATTAGTAAGGAAATTATTGCAGTCATGCAGTAAATCAAAGTCAAAATTGTGAACCTTGGATTCTTCTGACCTATTAGTCTCCAATTTCAGGGTTGTGATGCTTTTTTGGGGGAGGAAGGGAAATGGGAGTAAAGAAGATAGATCAATTAGAAATGTATATTAATTGTCTCTTTTACTGTCAAAGCGTTCTCTTTGTTTTTATGCACATGTCTTTGGTGGGATGGTGTTAAGATTTTAGAGTACTGTCTTGTCTGTGAAACTTCTGCAATGAAAACACATTTAATGAGGAAAATCTTCTTACTGATTTTTCAGGTGGTTGCTGGAAGAAATTATAATATAGCATTTAAAATGAGGAAGACAAACTGCTCGAAAACAGATGTCAAGGAACAGAGTGAATATTGTGTAGCTACAACAGACGGTGTAAGTGACTGGAATGCTGCAGAACACCAACTCAGAGCAATGGCTCTCAATTAACCCTACTGAACTGCACCAGAAAAGACCATGTTCTTAAAAAAAATCCCAACAAAACAAAAATAGACACCACCAAACCAGCAACCCAGGTTTGGTGTTTTTATTAAATAACTTCAATTGGTCGTTGCTGCCACTAGCAAGCCAGATCAGTAAAGGCTAGTTATTCCTCAATAAACTGAGAGATTTTTCTCTCTCAGCATTATCTTTACCTTTATCGTTAGTTCTGTGTGTGATCCAGGATATTGCTAAAGGACAGCAGAAAGGGTTGGTTTGGTCGACGCACTCCAACTGCACAATCCATTTGATTAATGCAAAGCTATTGGGATAATTTTGACCATTTCATGGGTGGTTGATCAAAAAGGAAAGGGGGTGAAATGCTACTACCAGGGTGTGGTCACGGTGATGTTGCTGAAGTGTATTCTGCTATGGCGAGGGGCTGGCACACTTGGGGCAAAGGGAGATATGCCAGTCAGGTTCTGCTAGGGTCGAATGCTGAGTTAGTGCTTGTGGAATGTACACTCCTGAGGTGAGGGGAAAATGCCTAGTATTTGTTGCAGGATGGTGGTGGGTGGGTTTCTCACCACACACACACTCCACCTGCTCTTCAAACTCATCTAGCTATTGCTTGGAAAGTACTTTGGAAATGAAAAGTGCTGAGAATTAATGTTATGAGTTGGATTGTGATGTTCATGCCGGCTTTCTAAAGCTAAATAGAACTAAGGGATTGTATGATTCCAATATAAGAATCTACAAAGATAAGACAGCTGGATTCTACAGATATTCACATAATGCTTCAAAAATAATAATATGTTTAAAAGGGTTATTAAAATTGTATGTCCTTATTTCTATACAAGTCTATTCCCATGTTTGTGGCTTATTTTTTTGTTTTAAGAGCCCATGTTGGCTTTGATCGATTGTTTGATTGATTGTTGGCAGGACACTTTGCTGTGCAGAGCACATGTTCACGTGATGCCCTGGACAAACACACTAAGGCCTACAGTTAACTGCGTGAAAGAGAAGGTATGAATTCTTAATACATATATTATTTCACTTCAGACTACTTACAACTCTTTACACAAAATTTGTAATGGGGAAATATTTGTAACCCTTTATCGGGCTTCCATAACATCCACTTCTCACATTAGCTCAGTAGCCTGCATTTTTTTTTAAAAGCAAGTGGTCATTTTTTTTCAAGTTAGTAATGTTGTAATCATTCCTCTTGCCCTCTGCACATGAACAGGGGGACAAACATGATACTGGATGTGAGCCAGAACATGGAAATGGGCACGGACACGACACGGTGTGTGGAGCAGGACACAAGCAGAGACATGGACTAAAACAACGTGAGGGTGAATATGGGCATGCGCATGGTCCACTATGGGGAGGGGAGCAGGGCAGGCACGTGTACCATAGCCTCCCCAGCCCTGAAGAACAAGGGTGGTAGATGGTGCACGACTGTGAACTAGACTCAAGAATCCCTCTAGTGCAGGGGCAGGCAAACTACAGCCTCCAGGCCTCATACTAAATTATATTTTCTATCAGATGCATTTGTAGGGCAATGGTGACATCTAGCAGCCAGTAAGGTTAATGTGCATCCCTTGGTTAACTTAAGGAATGGATGCATTTGATTGCATTGTTTGGAGAGCTAAAAGTCTACCTTTAATTGAATGTGGAGGAGGACTAGGTTGGATATTAGGAAAAACTATTTCACTAAAGGTTGTACCTCCCTTAACTAGGAGTCCCTAGTCCGGCAACATCCGTGGCCCATGCTGGACCATGGATGTTCCTGGACTACAAAGCCCAGGAAAAGGGAGGCCTGGTGGCGGGGCAGGAGCACATTACAGGGCACTGACAAGCCAGTGTGTGTATGGGGAAGAAGGAAATGGGCAGCACAGCAGGGAGTTTTGGCCCCAGCAGTGGCCATGGAGCTCCAGCCCCAACAGCGGCCAGGGAACTCTGTTCCCAGCCCTCTGCCCCAGTCTTGGCTGTGCAGCTCCAGCCCTGGAGCCAGGCAACTGCTGAGCTCTGCCTCAACTGTGCAACTCCAGCTCCATCATCAGATGGCGGTGCCTTTATGGCCCCGGCTGTGCAGCTTCCATCGTGGAACCAGGTGGCTGAGGAGCTCTGCCCCAGCTGCAGAACTCCGGCAGTGGCGCTCTGCTCCGGCAGCAGCAGTTGTGAGCAGCATCTAGAGCACCCTGGGAGGCTGGGTCAGCAATGGGGACAGGCTGGAGCCCTAATCCAGTGCCAACACAAACCAGGAGGAGAAAGACCTTCCCTGGTCTGGCAAATCCCTTCATTCAGGACAAGTCAGGTCCCGAGGGTGCCAGACAAGCGAGGTCCAATCTATAAGAAAGTGGTGAAGCACTGGAGTGCGTTACCTAGGAAGGTGGCAGAATCTCCATCCCTAAAGGTTTTTAATTCCTGGCTCGACAAATCCCTGGCTGGGATGATTTAGTTGGGACTGGTCCTGCTTTGGGCAGGGGGCTGGGTTCGATGACCTCCTGAGGTCCCTTCCAGCCCTGGGATTTTACAAACATCATGGCTGTGTCTACACTGGGCCACTTATTCCGGAAAAGCGGCTGATTTTCCGGAATAAGCTGCGAGCTGTCTACACTGGCCCTTGAATTTCTGGAAAAGCAACGATGCTCTACTGTACAAAATCAGCCGCTATTCCGGAAAAACTATTCTGCTCCCACTCGGGCATAAGTCCTTATTCCGGAACACTGTTCCGGAAAAGCGCCAGTGTAGACAGCCCAATAGTCTTTTCAGGAAAAAAGCCCCGATCGCGAAAATGGCGATCGGGGCTCTTTTCCGGAAAAACGCGTCTACATTGGCCACAGACGCTTTTCCGGAAAAAGGGCTTTTCCGGAAAAGCAGCCTGCCAATGTAGACGCTCCTTTTCCGGAAAACTGAAAACGGAATAGTATTCCGTTTTAAGCAGTTCCGGAAATTCATGCCAGTGTAGACACAGCCCATCAGTCCAGCATCGGAGGCACAGGTGAAGTTTTGCAAAAAAGTGTAGATGTTTTCCATTGCCTGCGAAAAGAGCTAAAATTGTAGATAAGGTCTCACTCACTTTTGAACGGGATGGGTGGGATGGTTTGTACGTTCTGGTTTGTGAGTGCACACTGAAAATAGAGTCAGCTACACTGACAGAAAGTAGGAATAGGGCAATTACTTCCAGAAGACTTACCGCACTTTTATACCGGATGTCCAATGATGCCTAGAGGAAGAGGTAAACAATCAGGTCAGTCTGGTGAAGGATTTCACAGCTCTGTCTCTACTTAGTGAGCTTTCACCAATGGAACTGTTCCACTTGTCCTTATGTAGATATTGGGTCAGATCCTTGGCTGGAGTAAATCTGGCTCACTGATTACACTTAAATTCCATTGAGATCTGATATTGTGTCACATCAGTTCTCAAGGTCACTGAATTACAAATTTAATTTATGCACTAAACTATGAAATTAATTTATGAAAATCCAACCCACGCTTACAAGGCAGGAAGCGGAGTTATTAAGATTAGTGGCAGGGAACAGAATTCGGAGCCTCCTCCTTCCAGATTGCCCATTCAAATCTAGTCCAGCTTTGTGGTGCCTGGACGTTGATTCCACCTTGTAAGCGCTTGACAGCCTTTGTGGGAGCAGTTCAGACAATGCAGCTAAGAGTATCAGGAGCTCCAAATTACAGTGGCTTACCTCCAAAGGTGCCAGTTGAAATGTTAATGTTGAGTTTTCCATTGCAGTATAGTGTGGAGCACAAACTGCTGCGCACTGGTTGTGAACTCTCTGGTAAAAACCACAATCTCCTAGGGAATCTCCCGGGCTGATAGATGACTTCCTCTCTTGCAAAGATGCATGCTGTATTTTTACATTAAAAGTAGAGAAGAGCCTGAAACAAAACCTTCAATCCTAAAACTCCTGAATTTGGGTGGGGTGAAGAGTTTGGCATCTGTACTCAGATCTGGATCCAGATTTTCAAAGGTGCCCCCTACAGCTATACTGAACTGAGCCCAGAAGCCAGACTCTGACCACCATAAATGTCAGGGGGGCTGGATCTGTGTTTTGTTGTCCCAGCTCTTTGCCAATTAAAAGAAGTGAGGATATTTCCTCCTCAAACTCTCTCTCTTGTTCACAAAAAAAATCAGAAGGCTGTTATACTAAGCAAAAAGCTGAATTTTTGGTTGGTTTGTTGTTTTCAGGAAAACGTGTGTTAGTTGGAGCCTTTCAACCTATACAAGTAGATGACACGGAACTTTCACATGTTGTGAGACGTGCTATTGAGATCTTTAACAATCAGAGTAACCACTCTTCTCTTTATGAAGTGGGTCAAATAATAAAGGCTGCCACGCAGGTTTGTATAGCAGGCATTTTTTTGCGTATTTATTAAAATAAGATACTTTGGTTATTTATATCTATCTACCTGCAAGCAGTAAGTTCCATTTTACAGTAGTAACATATGTGATATAAAAATAACACTTAATTCCTACAAAAAGCCTAAATGCCTGGTTTTCAGTGGTTGTACCATTGGCTTCTGAATTGCTACTGCATGTAGTTTGTCCTTGTCTTCAATTTCACTGAGTAGCACTGGTTCAGCTGCACACATTACCAGGAGAGCCGACAGCCACAGAAGGCCGATAGGCAGGGTAGAGTGGGTATGGCTCTGTGCTCTTATAAGGGATGGGGCCTCGAGCAGAAGGGGTGGGGAAGGAGCAGCCAGGAGCACCACCTGTAACACACCATGCAGCCCCCCACCCACTGAAAATCGGCAGCAGCCAGGAGTCCCAGGCTCTTTAAAATCGCTAGGGCCTAGGATAATTCTCCCCCTTTGCCTGACCCATTCTACTTCCTGTCACCCAGCCTGTGCATTGCCAACATTTATTGTCAGCAACTGGTATTGTTTGTGGTTTAAAGAAGGCTAATGAAGAACTCCACCTGTGAGATAGAAATGGATTTTGCATTTTGGTCTTCAGATGGAATTTTGTGCATACACGTTAAGCCTCTCTAATCCAGCCCTCTTGGGACCTGTCCGGATGATGGAGTTGGATGACGCATGTTTTTGGACCGGAGAGCTCTGGACTAGAGAGGTTCAACTTGTACAAGGAATACACCTTCAAATCCCCCAGATTCCATGCCAGTTTCTATTCCATGAAAAGGCTACATAGCTGTGCGAGCGACTCAGCTTAGGCATTGGTATGACAGAGCTCATAGACATGTTTCTGGTTTGATTTTAAGTATTATATAACTTGATGCAAGCTATGTATCCTTTTCCTGTGCATATTTGTGTTCATTTATCTGTGTGTTCTTCCCCAAGTCAGTTTGAGCAAGTGTTTAACTTCCTCAAAATATCATGAGGCAAATCAATTGTATTAAGAAACCAATTTCCACCCTCCATTTGTTAATTCCATCGGTCACCTTAGCCACAAGACATATTCCTTACTCCAAGGGGGCTATGTTGTACCTGCTGGAGAGGAGATTGCCACACCATCTATGGACTCTGAATGGCCTTTTGTGTCCGACTAGAATAAACTAGTCAAAGGATTTTATTGGGGTGGACTAGGAAGAAATACAATGCATTCTTATGTTGATTCAGCATCTCTATCACTTCTGCATATGGGGATTGATCCAAAGCCCACTGAAGTCAATGGGATAGTGTCCATGGTGATGCAGCAAGGATAAGGCTACCCTGCTCTTCCAAAAGTTGGGAGCAGTAGCCACAAGCAGTGAGCTGCATCCTTACATCTTGGCTACGTCTAGACTGGCATGATTTTCCAGAAATGCTTTTAACGGAAAAGTTTTCCGTTAAAAGCATTTTCGGAAAAGAGCGTCTAGATTGGCACGGACGCTTTTCCGCAAAAACACTGACAATCTTACATGAGATCATCAGTGCTTTCGTGGAAATTCAAGCAGCCAGTATAGACAGCTGGCAAGTTTTTCCGGAAAAGCGGCTGATTTTCTGGAAAAACTGGCCAGTCTAGAAACAGCCCTTGAGTCCAGGTCAGAGGATGGATTTGGGATTCACTTGGAATTCATGTGAATTAGGTACACCTAAAGGTATCACCTTTAAAGCAGATATTATTCAAAAGTCCCATTTCACAAACAAGAAAGTGATGAAAACCCTGAACAAGACAGAAGTCAGAAAATGCCCAAGGCAGACACAATTCCTCGTAACAATAACTGCAGCACACCTGGTAATAAATGACACCTACACCTCAAAGTAGTATTATGTGATGTGCGATACCTAGGAACATAGCAATTGCACCACCAGACCAGAACCCTCTAGCCATGTAGCCAGTACCAGATACTTCAAATTAAGATGTAGGAAACCCTGCACTGTGACGTTGGGACAGAAGAGGTTGGAATCTGAACCTGAATCTGGTTACCAATTTCACGGCTCATCTCTGTGACTCAGGCTATGTCTACACTGTGGAGGTTTTTTGGGAAAATGGCTGTTTTTCTGAAAAAAACTTTATTTACGTTCACACTGCAATCGCGTTCTTTTGAAAAAAAATCGAAACAACAGAGGGGTTTTTCTGACATTGGTAAACATCTTTCTACAAGGAAGAAGCCTTTTTGTGAAAGAGCTCTTTTGGAAAAAGGCGTGTGTGAACGGGGAAGAGAGAATTCTTTTGAAAGAAGAAGAGGAAAAAGCACAGGTGCCCTGGTGGCAACTCTGTCCTTAGCAATCAGAGCTTAAATGAGAGATAGCATCCATTCAGTGTGAACGCTATCTTTCGAAAAGGCAGATCGCTTTTTCTTTGCGCTTTTGCTGTGTGGACACACTCTTTTGGAAGAAGCTTTTTTGGAAGATAATGCAGGACAATGTAGCACTTTAAAGACTAACAGGATGGTTTATTAGATGATGAGCTTTCGTGGGCCAGACCCACTTCCTCAGATCAAATAGTGGAAGAAAGTAGTCACAACCATATATACCAAAGGATACAATTTAAAAAAATGAACAAATATGAAAAGGACAAATCACATTGCAGAACAGAAGGAGGATGCGGGGGGGTGGGAAGGGGGAGGAAGGAAGGTAAGTGTCTGTGAATTGCTGATATTAAAGGTAGGGAGAGTGGGATGTTTGTGAGTTAATGGTATTACAGGTGATAATTGGGGAAACTGTCTTGATAATGGGTGAGAAAGTTCAAAGACTTGTTAAGTCCCTGGTGAGTTTATCTGTCTGTAAAATGAGAATTATATTTTCCTGCTGCACTGGGCAGTTGTGTGCCTGAATGGCAGCTGAGCAATTTGAAACACTTATATTGGAAGTCATTACAGATGTGCAGTGTTATCTTATATTTTATGTGGTGATTTTAATCATTTTTCTTTTAAATATATATTGAATTATTTCCTAAATATTTGTTCCAGGTGGTGGCTGGACGGAATTATGCATTTGAGTATGAAATCAAGGAGACTAATTGCTCCAAGCATCATTTTCCTAAGTTAAGACCTGAGTGCAAACCCATTCCTGGAGGTGTAAGTGATATTCACATCCAGTTTATCAAAACTTCTTATGTTGGTAATTAATTACTGAGATTCTGATTCAGGAAAGTACTTAAGCACCTGCCTGACTTAAGGTATTTGTACACTGCAGTAAAGCACCTGTGGCTGGTCTGTGTCCGCTGACTCAGGCTCATGAAGCTTGAACGGACTGCTGTAAAAATACAGCATAATTGTCTAGACTTTGGCTGGGTTCCAGAGCCCAGACGCCACTCCAAGCCCAATGTCTACCCTGCAATTCTATTGCCCTGTATGCAGTCTAAACTAGGGTGTGTCTAAACTACATGGTTCCATTGATGGAGCCATGTAGATTAGGCAGGATGGCAAAGGGAAATGAAGCGGCGATTTAAATAATTTTAATTTAAATCAAAATGGCCGTCGCGCTGCATCGATCAGCTGATTGTCGGCACAGGGCGGCAGTCTAGACGGGGATCTGCCAACCCCAGAACCCTTCATCGGCAGATTCCCCATGGGTACATTTCACGAGGCATACAGGATCTGCTGACAAAGGGTTCTGGGGTAGGCAGATCCCCGTCTAGACTGCCACACTGTGCCAACAATCAGCTGATCGGCGCAGCGCGGTGGCCATTTTGATTTAAATGAAGCGGCAATTATTTAAATCACCACTTCATTTCCCTTTTTCAAGTACACTAATCTACATGGCTCCGTCGATGGAGCCATGTAGTTTAGACGTACCCTCAGAGACTACAACTACACTACTGTACAACAGAAAATTGACTTAAGCTATGCAAATCTAGTTATGTAATTAACATAGCTAGAGTCGATATACCTTCAGTAAGTTACCACGGACTCTACACTGCGAGAGGGTGACGAGTAATTCTCCTGTTGACTTCCTTTGCTTTTCTTATCCAAGGAAGAGTAATAGGGTCAATAAGAGAGTGATCTGTGTTGGATTTGGCAGGTCTTAATTAGACCCGCTAAATCAACAGCTAGTGGAACAATGTCAGAGAATCAATTTGAGCTGTAATGTAGATATAGCCTGGCCCTGCAAGTTCAAGTCAGCTGACATAACTCAGCCATGCCCATTTTACTGCTGTGTAGCCATACCCTTAATGTTAATAGAATTTAGCACAGGCTTAAAGTTAAACGTGCTTAAATGTTATGCTCCTTAGGAGTGGATTTAAGCACAATGTTGAAGTCTTTTGCTAAATTAAAGCCTACAAAGGCCATGGCTCTGAAATATTTGCAAATGCCCATTTAGAGCCAGTCTCATCAAAAATAAGAATGGCCATACTGGGTCAGACCAAAGATCCATCTAGCCCAATATCCTGTCTTCCAACAGCAGCCAGTGCAGATGCCCCACAGTGAATGAACAGAACAGGTAATCATCAAGTGATCCCTTTCCTGTCATCCACTTCCAGCCTGACAAACAGAGGCTAATAGCCATTGATGGACCTAACCTCCAGGAATTTACCTAATTCTTTTCTGAACCCTGTTAAAGTCCTGGTCTTCACAACATCCTCTGGCAAAGAGTTCCACAGTGTGCTGTGTGAAGAAAAACTTTTGTTTGTTTTAAACCTGTTACCTATTAATTTCATTTGGTGACCCCTAGTTCTTATGTTATGGGAACAAGTAAATAACTTTTCTTTATTCACTTATTTCACACCCATCATGGTTTTATAGACCTCTCTCATGTCTCCCTTAGGGTATGTCTATGCTGCATAGCTATTTCAAAATAAGCTATTCCAGAATAGTTATTCTGAAATAGCTTATTTTGAAATAGAACGTCTACACTGCAGAGAAGCCTCAAAATTAGTCAGAGGAAGGCTTCCCTAATGTATATGTGCTATCTTGATTCAGAGCCCCAGGAGACATTGGGAAGGAATGACAAAATGGCCCTGGTGAAGGGCTATTTCTAAATAGCTGCATTGGAGTGTCTACACATGACTTATTTCAAAATAGCTATTTTGGAATAGGGGTTATTCCTCGACAATGAGGTTTACAGATTTCAGAATAAGCTGTCTGTCATTTCAAAATTATTTTGAAATAATGGAATGGCTGTGTAGACATTCACATTGTTATTTCAAAATAACACTAGTTATCTTGATGTAATGGTGTATTGTAGACTAAGGATGTTAAGTTGCAGTTAATTGACTAGTCAAGTAGTCAATGGAATTTCCATTGACTACTTGACAGGCACTTCCGCATTCTTCCTTTGAAATGTACAAGAGCCCCCGCTGGGACTCTCGTACATTTTAAAGGAGGAACATGGAACTCCATGTGCAGCCCAGGGCCAGCGGGAATGCCTGCTTTGAAATATACAAGAATCGCCAGCAGGGGCTCTTGTGCATTTCGAAGCGGAAGTGCCATCATAGAGCCTGGGGCCAGTGGGGAACTCAGAGTCTGCTGCTGACCCGAGCTCCATGCGGCACTGCTGGTTTGAAATGCCACACAGAGCCTGGTGTCCAGCTGACTTCAGGTTTCGCACAGCATTTCAGTGGAACCCAGGATGAGCTGGCTAGTCCCCAGCTGACCCCGGGTTCAGCATGGCACTTCCCCAGAACCCAGGGTCATCTGGGGAGTCCCAAGCTGACCCCGGTCTCCACGGTGCTGCCCCTTTGAAACACCAAGAGGGTTGCAGAGTGTGAATCTTGGGTTAGCACTGTTTGTGTGTGGTCAGAAGGAAAGGAAGGCTTGAGCCTGAGTTTAAACCCTGGACTTATACTGTAGTGCAGACATCCCCCAAGGGTATGATTCTGTACTTATTAAACATTCTAACTTCCCATTCAAATCAAAGGGAGTCAAGGGAGTTGTTCAGTACCTCTCAAGACCAAGATGAAAGCAGCCCCATTAATCTGTCATCAATATCTATCTATAAAGGCCTCTTCCATTTTCTCTGGTGGATTTCCCAGGGTCATCTTTTCTCCTGATCAGAAATCACTGGACTTGCTTTTGAAGGTGCATTCAGATCAGTGTAGATCAGGAGAAAATTCTCTGGAGACAATGGAGACTAACCAGTGTTCAAGACACCACAAATTGGCCTCTCATCTCTCTCTTCATGACCCAGTGTTTGTTTGCTATGAAGGAGGCCATCAGGACATTTACAAATATGCTCGCTGAGTATTTCTAAGAGAAAATTAAGAGGTTTTTTTCTCCCAACCCAGCATATCGGTCGCTGTGGAGCCAAGATATATGTGGATCTCAGTAACACAATTGCAAATGTTGCACAGAAATGCCAGTTTATAGGTACGTGGTGATCATGTGTCAGTTGAAAACTGCTAATGGTTTACTACAATTGCAGATAGTTGTACAATAAAAATGCCAAGGGACTAAAAAAAACATGGGAGGGGGAAAGCAAATCTGTTCGTACAGCAAAACAATAAGGCTTCTGCCCCCCTATAATGGAAATTTAACTGGAGTGTGCAGGACAAATCAGACTCCTGCCAGGAGTGAAGTAGTCTGAAAAGATCGAGAACTACTGATTTAAAGAACTTTCACCAAGAACTCCACATTCACAACTGGGTTTTGTATGTGCATCACCTCCTTAGATTAAAGAGCCATAGCCACTTACAGCTTGTCAACTGGACTCAAGAATTCATCTAGTGCAGGGGAGGGCAAATGACAGCCTGTGGGCCTCATCCAGCCCATCAGCTATTTTAATCTGGCCCGCAAGATCCCATGGGAAGCAAGGTCTGGGGTTTGCCTTCTTCCACACATGGCATGACTCTGCGGAGCTCCAAGAAGCATGCCCCGCCTTCCAGTTCCTGCATGAAAGGGAAACCAGAAGGGTCCATGCAATTCTCCTGCCCAAAGAAGCTGTGGTGGGAGCTGCTAGGGCAGCACTGGCAGATGAGGGGGAGGGGAGGGAGAGGCGGGCAGCACACAGAGCTGCTTGGCCACACCTCCACCTAGGAACCCACCAGGAGGAGGACTTGCCACTGCTTCTGGGAGCTGCTTGAGGTAAGCACAGGACAGAGCCGGTGCCCCTGAGACTCACCCTGCATCCCAACCCCCTGACATAGCCCTGATCCCACTCCTGCTCCCTGAACCCCTCTGTCCCATCCAGAGCACCCTTCTGCACCCCAGGTTCCTCATCCCCAGCCTCACTCCAGTGCCCACACACCCAGCCAGACCCCTCAGTCCTTCCCGCACCCTAACCCCAATTTTGTGAGCATTTATGGCTCTTTATACAATTTCCATACTATGTGTAACCATTGGGCCAAAAGATTTGCCCACCCCTGATCTAGTGGTATCGCTGCTTTTATTTCTTGTTACATCACTGTCACCATTCTACTCTTGCATTTAATAACACAGAAACTTAGTTTCTTTTCAGGGTTACTTACCCCACTTACACCTCATTCATTATTACCCAGCACCATACCCCTAACAAGAGCATTTTGTTTACTGTCCTTTCTTTCTAGTCTTCTGTTGGGACACAGTCTGTTACTGTTCCAAGATTTTAGTTCTCCAGGTACAGGGTCATTTAGTTCTTCAGGTACAGGGTCATATGTAGCATGTACAGCTTTCTCATCCATACATAGACTTGCTTTTCTTCAAGGAATGGTTATATAATTCTTCAAAATAGAATCACTCATTGCACAGAGTGTGCACACATAGATCTCAGAGATGAAGGGAGCCTCCTGTTTCCTCTAGTCCAGCCCATCACAAAAGTGCAGCTGTTTCTTCTACAGCAGCCACTTGCCACCTTCCATTTGTACTCTCATTTCTGTATTCATCAAATGCACTGTTTACGCCCAGGCATCTAAATTCTGCTTTTTTCCTATGCACATCATTGATAGGACAACACAGACATCTACCAAATCAAATCTCAAAATATTCTGGGTCCCACCTAGCAGAGTCAAATCCAGGCAGTCCTGACAGAAGTGCATTTCTGCCTCAGTGGTTGACCTGAGCCCAATGCACAGTGAATCTTTTGTTTCTTCAATTTACTTGAACCCTGGTGTTTCTTTCAGTTGATGAAACTGTACCTCCTCGCATTACCGTTTGTCGTGGCTGTCCAAAACCCATCCCAGCTGACAGTGTAGAATTGGAGGAACCAAAGAGCCATAGCCACTTACAGCTTGTCAACTGGACTCAAGAATTCATCTAGTGCAGGGGAGGGCAAATGACAGCCTGTGGGCCTCATCCAGCCCATCAGCTATTTTAATCTGGCCCGCAAGATCCCATGGGAAGCAAGGTCTGGGGTTTGCCTTCTTCCACACATGGCATGACTCTGCGGAGCTCCAAGAAGCATGCCCCGCCTTCCAGTTCCTGCATGAAAGGGAAACCAGAAGGGTCCATGCAATTCTCCTGCCCAAAGAAGCTGTGGTGGGAGCTGCTAGGGCAGCACTGGCAGATGAGGGGGAGGGGAGGGAGAGGCGGGCAGCACACAGAGCTGCTTGGCCACACCTCCACCTAGGAACCCACCAGGAGGAGGACTTGCCACTGCTTCTGGGAGCTGCTTGAGGTAAGCACAGGACAGAGCCGGTGCCCCTGAGACTCACCCTGCATCCCAACCCCCTGACATAGCCCTGATCCCACTCCTGCTCCCTGAACCCCTCTGTCCCATCCAGAGCACCCTTCTGCACCCCAGGTTCCTCATCCCCAGCCTCACTCCAGTGCCCACACACCCAGCCAGACCCCTCAGTCCTTCCCGCACCCTAACCCCAATTTTGTGAGCATTTATGGCTCTTTATACAATTTCCATACTATGTGTAACCATTGGGCCAAAAGATTTGCCCACCCCTGATCTAGTGGTATCGCTGCTTTTATTTCTTGTTACATCACTGTCACCATTCTACTCTTGCATTTAATAACACAGAAACTTAGTTTCTTTTCAGGGTTACTTACCCCACTTACACCTCATTCATTATTACCCAGCACCATACCCCTAACAAGAGCATTTTGTTTACTGTCCTTTCTTTCTAGTCTTCTGTTGGGACACAGTCTGTTACTGTTCCAAGATTTTAGTTCTCCAGGTACAGGGTCATTTAGTTCTTCAGGTACAGGGTCATATGTAGCATGTACAGCTTTCTCATCCATACATAGACTTGCTTTTCTTCAAGGAATGGTTATATAATTCTTCAAAATAGAATCACTCATTGCACAGAGTGTGCACACATAGATCTCAGAGATGAAGGGAGCCTCCTGTTTCCTCTAGTCCAGCCCATCACAAAAGTGCAGCTGTTTCTTCTACAGCAGCCACTTGCCACCTTCCATTTGTACTCTCATTTCTGTATTCATCAAATGCACTGTTTACGCCCAGGCATCTAAATTCTGCTTTTTTCCTATGCACATCATTGATAGGACAACACAGACATCTACCAAATCAAATCTCAAAATATTCTGGGTCCCACCTAGCAGAGTCAAATCCAGGCAGTCCTGACAGAAGTGCATTTCTGCCTCAGTGGTTGACCTGAGCCCAATGCACAGTGAATCTTTTGTTTCTTCAATTTACTTGAACCCTGGTGTTT